GTACGTATGTACGTACGTTCGTATGTCAGCATTTTTTTCGTTTTCGATATCTCAAGAACGGATTGAGATATCGCCCTCAACCAAAATTTTTTCGAAAGATATTATCATAATGAAGATCTGAAAGAAATTTGAACGAAATCGGTCAAGCCGTTTTTTTTTTATAAAAAAAAAAACGAATTAATTACAAACAATTTAATTAAAATACGTTCTAATCTAATCACAACAATGAAGTTACGGAATCAATAATAACGAAATATCATTATTCAAGACAGGGAATAACATATTATAATAACATATTATAATAAAAATTTGTTTATAACAAAATGAATTGTTATAAACAATCGATAAACAATAAAAAATAGTATTTACCAATTGACTGATGCAAGTACTCTATCAATTCGGTTTTCTCAGACGAAATACTGTTTCTTATGGGTTTATAAAATGACGAACTCTCAAACATTGTTTGTTATTTATTATTGTGCCGCGTTTTTTTCAAACTTTAGAAACGAATGTACTTTACAATAACTGTATTATCTAATGGGAAGTTAGTCGTATTAGCACCGACCAAAATGTGCTCAGACCAATTTTTGTTTACTTTCTTTTTAGTCATTTTAAAATTGTAATATACTTAGATATACACGAAAAAGGAAAGTAGATACCAGTAACACTCTAGACAATGGAGCAAAGAATAATTACGACATAAAATATGACAATTGTCATATTTCAAAATTGTGTCAAAATTTATTGTGTTCAGTAATTGCAAATAAAAACATGTCCCGTCCATCGTTAAATGGTGTATTTAAACTAATTTTAGACAATATGAAGTATACTCTAAATCCGCATTGTAACTATTCAAAGCCATCAGCTACATCTAGTCTCACGAAATGTGTACAATGGAGTCAAAATCACTGCCCCAATACAGGATTTTTAAACAGTTCCAAATGTTCTGAGAAAGATAATGAAGAGTTTACGCAACAATCAAAACCCTGCCTTAATATCGAAGAATTAGAATGTGGACTGCATCCAAGAGAGACGCAGAAGAAAAAGAAACAATTAGAAACCAGCTGCTTACAAAAGAAACCGATCCAAACGTATAGGGGATACCCTATCACAAAATGTTCCCAGGGCAGACACGATGGTTGTAAACCGATAGTTACAAATAAAATCAAGTTTCCAAAAGTCAAACGAAAGGATTGTATTAAGTTAGGCCTCAAAAGATATAAAACCCACGTCGATTGTCGGCACCGCAAAGAAAACGAGTGTGTGTTTACTTGTTCAGCGCAACAATGTAAAATATACCCTGCCAAAACGGAAATTCCTCTCAAACAGAGAGATCCATGCGACTGATAAAACATTGAAAAACAAGAACGATATTTAGCGTGCTAATTATATAAACATACAATAAACATCACGATTTCGCATACACAGTAACATAAGATAAAAAATTAGTTCTATGACATTATTTAGCTATGTCCTTTTATAGCTACTTATTTACAAACTTTTGGAAATACAACTTTACTAACAAATTAAATCAGCATTTAAAAATTTATTCAATTTCCAAACAATTCCACGAGTGCTTACTTTTGTTCAGATTAATTTATATATTTTGATAAAAATACGCAGTAATAGTACTAATTTCTTGTCAACGCACTCTAAAACCGTTGACAGGTTGACACCATAAGATTCAACGTGTTTTATTACATAATTATCACTTCTTGCAAGTCAGTAAATAACATCCATATTTCTGTAATTTCATGAGCGCGTATTTTAATGAAAATTATGCCAGAACGTGCTTATTTGACACCGCAGCCGGAAACCGTTGGCACCATGAGATTCTACGTACTATTTTACATAATTAACACTTCTTGAAAGTTAGTAAATACCTTTCATCTTTCTGTAATTTCACGAGCGCCTTTTTCATTCTGATATATTTTGTATACTTTAATAAAAACAATGCCGGAAAGTAACTATTTGACACCGCACTAAATAACCATTGGTACCATCAGATTCTACGTACTTTTTTACAGTAATATCGGTTTTCAAAAGTTAGTAAATACCTTTCATCTTTCTATAATTTCACGAGGGCCTTTTTATTTCTAATATATTTCGTATATTTTAATAAAAATAATGCCGGAAAGTAACTATTTGACACCGCACTAAAAAACCATTGGTACCATGAGATTCTACGTACTTTTTTACATTAATATCGATTCTCAAAAGTTAGTGAATACCTTTCATCTTTCTGTAATTTCTCGAGCGCCTTTTTTTTCTAATATATTTTGTATATTTTAATAAAAATAATGCCGGAAAGTATTTATTTGACACCGCACTCGAAAAATCGTTTCGACCATGACTTTGTGCAATGCTTGTATGTATTTTTTTATATAACCGTTAATCCAAGTATATGTGACGCCACTGACTATTTCAATGATAATCAGTATTCTCACCATTCATTGATAATCCATTCATAACAAGAAACAGCTGTTTATGTCTGCAATGTCAAAATGTTCATAACGTGAAATCGTGTTATAAATATGGAAATAATTAGTAAATTAACTGTTTCAGTAAAATAATGAATAAAACTGAACTTGAACACGAAAATAATGCAGTCTGTAGGTGTCATGTAAATGCTTGTAATTAATCTTTTCCTCTAAAGATGGGCCAAAATGTTACTACACAAATTCAGGAATTGTTTCCATCTTTTCTGGAAGAATTGAAGAAGGATGAGTGCACTGGTACACTATTATCAGCCGAAATAAGAAATTTGTCGCATGAACAGTTTATGAATTATATTGGAGAGTTGAACGTTTTGTAAATTTCACACGATAAATTTTTCCTTGAATACAATTTGTGTAATTTTAGATCTAAAAAGTATGAGGACTCAAACGGGAAGCGTTTGGTTTTTGCAGTTAAACAGAATACAGATACATCGATATTTTGGAAGGCAACAGTTCAGATAGCATGTGTTAAACTTGATGCTAAATGTAGCCAAGTAGAAAGTTTTCGACTGATGAATTTACCTGAATTCATTAAAGTCTTTAAAACACTAAAGTGTCAATACTTAACTGAAACAGAAAGCAAGAAGTACCTATGTTTATTATCTTATTATTAAATAGTTTCTTTTCTGATTTTTTGTTATGTGACAGGTTGCAAGAAAATTTAGAAGCATCAACTCTCTTTTCTAATATTGAAGAAGCGATGAAACATAATAAGAATAGGGCTAATTTAGAGAATCTGAATGAATGCTGTATTTGTTTAGAAAGAGTTCCAGAGACATTACTACCATGCACCCATTCATATTGTTCAAAATGTATTGAGGAATGGTAATAATAATTAATTGTTTAATAAAGAAAAATTGGCAATGACATTTTAGGAGTGACAATCATGACACTTGTCCAATTTGTCGTGAAAAATTAAAGAGTTCTGATGATACTTGGGTCCTTTCTGAAGTACCAAAAGCTGAAGAAATAAGTGAAGAAATTCGTTCTAATCTTATGAGTTTGACCGAGGACAGACCCAGTTCTTGTTTCTCTTCATAAAGTTTACAGTTTGTCATAAGATATCTACTTATTCTACTGTTAAATATTTGTTATACAATACATATGTAATGCATCTTATTTTAATAAATATGCTACAATATAATTGTTAACATATTTTTTCCTCATGAGTAAAAAACTATATTAAACTGAAAATCATCTAGGTAAAATAAAGTTATTGTAACAACAAATTACGATTCCTTTGATGTTTAAGTACAATTCTAATGAATGTACTCGTTTTTAGGTACTTTGTATTATTACTAACGGTAGGGTGAAACAAAGAATAAAATAATAAATTACAGTTTTACGTAATTATTATTCAAAATTTGATCCAACGAAGTATACTCTACCAAGGCATCGAGAGTTACTGACTAAAGAATGCAGTTTAATTAATATAAACCAACGGAACGCATCTGATTGGTCGATACGTCGGCGGCCATCATGTTGATCAGGCGAAACTAGGTCAAGTTCACGCAATGGAATGCGTACGTAAACAAAGGTAGGCGCCACATAAACAATGAATGTTAAGGGAAAGTTAAATATGAATAACTCAGTTATTTCTTAAGCGATTTTCATGCGGTTTTTACGTGAAAATAGAAAATATAACGCTACGTGACACTTTCAAGAATTAAATAATGTTATTTAGCAATTTATACGCTCCCGATTGAAACACTTAAAAGATTGATCTACATTTTACTTACATAAATTTATATTTACCAAATACAGGGTTGAAACGAGTTTCATAAGCTCAGGGATTGAGTTTGTTTAAACTGCCAACTCAAAATAAATGTTTTTATCGGCTACAAAGATTGATTGTAATTATATAACGAAGAAAAAGGCCTTTTTGTAGTGATTCGTAATAAAAATTTAAAACTACAGTTCACTGTAATAAAAAAAGCACTTAATTTAATATTTAATATCGTATTTTTTGTGTTTGTGTGGTTTATAAGTTTTTTTACCGCAATTTTCAATTATCTTTACCTTTTTAATTTTTCTCCTAACTGGGGTTTTTATTATTTATTCAGCAATCTTTAACGGGAATTCCTTTTGCATTTTTACTTTCATTCTTAGAGCAAATTATTTCGCTAAATTCTAATACATATGATGAATCAAGTGTCAATTTACTTAAAACAAAAGAGCAATTTAATTTTCAAACGTCAGTTTTTAAATATTCACCTATCAAATTTGTGAGTGCTGTATTTAACAATGGACGACCCAGAGAAAACTTTCAAAGAACTCCGTGAACTTTTCGAAAATCTTGAAAAATCACCTTCTAGTAATTCAAGCGAAAATTCGAAAAACAATTTAAAAAGTAGTTTCGATATTACAAACGATAATGGACAACTTGCTTCTTTAATTGAAAAACTTGACGCACTACTGACAACTATTAATAACGACAATGAATATCACAAGAAAATTCTTACAATGAAAGCCTCTTTATATTATGAACAAGCAAAATTAATGGCAGCACTTGGAGATACGACAAAAGCTACCGACTTACTAGAAAAAGCTTTAGAATTCGTTTCTGATTTTAAAGATCACAACCAAGTGAAATTTCTTTACCTAAGATTAATCAACCATTTGTCATATCTTATTTCAAAGGCAGATAACCTTCAAAAGTCCCGGGAACTTCTAGAAAGCATTGCCGATTTCGAAGTAAACACGGACATTGCGGTTTACAGGTCTTTAAAAATAAATTAGTTTCATATAAGCAATTAAAAATTGGAAAGGAACATTTTGTAATAACTAAGATTGAATAATTTCGTTTCAGTACTGAAGAATTATTTTCGGGAAAAGTCCTAGATCAAAACCAAAGACGGGTAAAACTGAACAAATTGTTAGCGAATAATTTGCAAATGTTGGGCTGGGTTTACGGCAGACTTGGAATGCACGACGAACATGCTTTCAAACAACATAAAGCACTAGAGAAACAATTGGAAACTGGAGACATTGATCCCACCGATTGGGCTTCGAGATGCACTAGATTAGCTGCAGTCCTTATAACAAAGCAGAAATGGGTACCAGCAAGGTACTCAACCATTGAAAATTATTCCCTTAGTTAATAAATAAAAGTGATTCAATTTTTCAAGATACCACTTGTCAGCTGCAACAACAGTTTTAAATCGTCTAGAACGCGAATTAGTCCCACATCCAGAGCTATCCAGGACACAAGCAGATATGGCGAGGGGATGGGTTCACTACGGACTTCAGTTGTTTAACGCCAGCACTATATATTTGACGCAAAAGCTTGCAGGTAAATGAAATCTTCATGTTCCAGTCGGAATCAGAAAAGGAAACTTTCGATAACTGAACTACTAATAGAAAGAATATAAACT